AACAACCCTGTGTCCTAATGTTTCAACTTTTCATTTCATTTTGCTTGTAGTTTTTTTTCATACCCATTTTCTTTAAACTGAGCTGTCCTCAGTTTAAACTTTTGATAAAAAAATAAAAAATTCATAATAATATCAAATATTTTTGAGAACACATAGTGTACACACTGAGGATACTTGTTGAAGAATTGCTCATTAGAAAACAAATGTAACGCGGAAGAATTTCAATAATATGTACTAACAATGAAAAGCATTACACAAAGAAAAAATTAGAAAGAATAATTGGTTCAGAAGCATCAAAAAAAGGAGAAAAACGAAAAAATAATGGAATCAACAGAAAATTAAATAAAATTGTTAGATACAGCCTATTACGTACACTACTGTGAACGTTGAAGTTCCTTAAATAAACTTCTTCCGTGTTCAAGCTTTATGGTAATATGATATGATCAACACAGTTAATAAAGCATTCTTAATCATCATTTTGTCCTGCAAAGAGACCAAAACTCCCTTCGTCCATTATTAACATACTGCTTTGACACTACAGATATATGAGTCTTGCAAACTTGAACCAAACAAACACGTTTCAAAAAAAAAAAAATCATATTTCTCAAATAATTATGGCATCTATAGTGGTAAAACGACAGAAAGCAAGATGTAAAAAATGTGGAATAAAACTAATTTAAAAAAAAGAACAAAAAAACTTGCAGTTACATGTAAGTTTAAAAAAGAATTGCACGAATATTTAGAAAAAAAAACTCTCTCTGAACGTACTATAGTAATCAGCTCAATTCTCACGCATAGAAATCGCTTCAAATGTTTTCTTCCTTCACCAAACACAAAATTAAAAACAGCCTAATAATTAAAGCTCCACAAAACACAATACCCCTTTGTTTAATGACTTCTAAGGTCACTAAAATCTCATGTTGGATCCGATACAAGCATAAAATATCAAATCAAATCTATATGATAATCGTTTTCAAGAAGGAGAAGAATGCAGATTAAATATATAAAAAAGTGAGATAAATGACGGAAATCATGGCAGGATTTCCACTCATTCAAAAATAAAAAAACTGTCTGAATAAACCATTTTCAAAGTTGAAGCTTAAAAAACTGTAAACAGCCTATTAAGATGAAAAGCAGTTATAATTCAATAATTCAATGATGACAACAATAAAAATAATAATTTGGGGTTTGTAACTTCTGTACATCTATTCTCTCCCCTGCTTCCGCTTATTTTTTTCTCTTCGACTTCTCCGATCCACTTATAATTAAAGCGGTTTAATCCCGCTGTTACAAACTGTCTGAATAGACCATCTTCAGACTTGAAGATTATAAAAACTGTAAGTAGCCTATTAAAACGAAAACCAACTATAATTTGATAATTTAATAATAACAGCAATAAAAAAATAATTTAGGGTTTGTAACTTCTACACATCTACTCTCTTCCCCATTTTCGCTCAGTTTTTTCTCTTCAAGTTCCCCGACCCACTTATAATTAAAGCGGTTTAATTTCACTGTTTGAGGCATTGGAGTGAGGGTAGTAGACTTCTGCAGTTATAAAATTAAGAAAATGCATTTCATAAATGAAATAAAAATTTTTATACATATTTATAAAGTTCCAAAAACCGAAAATTTTGAGAAAAAATTTTTTCACTGACAATGTCGCCAAGTGCAAAAACCAAAAAAAGATTAGGAGAAGCAGTAGTGAAATAATGGCCCTTAAATTAAAGGTAACAAAATCATTACAGCTAAAAACACCTAAAAATCGAAGTAAAATAGAAAACGACACCAAAAAATGCTTATTAACCACCTTATTAACATTAAATTTACAGCCATCGTAACTTTACAATTTTGAAAGTCACTTACCATGTTTAATTTCCAGAACTGTACTGTTAATGCAAAATAGATGTTTTAAAGAATGGGACACCAAAACACGTCTCTGTTTCAGAAAATTGAACAAAAATTAGCAAACATGAAATAAGACAATAATAAGAAATAATAAAAAAAACCATTTTCAATACTTCATATGTTTTTTTTATTAATTTGATATTTAGGACTGCACTAAACTTTTTTTTACTCTATTCACCTCCTTTAAAGCAAGCAAAATTTTTCCACATTTGAAAGAACCAAACAGTGCCAATCTTAAAATACACGTTTGCAAACTCTATACAAACCCTTTTAGCTATATATTTCAAGTTTCCATTTTTAGCTGGATTCCGTTCTTTTTAAAGTTTCAACTAACCACACTTGGCCTACTCTGGGACGCACGCTTTAGAGTATTGAAATTAAACCGTGACAACCACTCTCCAGCCAGATTTCGCTTCTTATACTCATATCAATTTTACAACCATAAATCTACTTCCTTCTAAGTTGAACTCTATAAGATATTCATTGTAGTTCATATCTTCCTTATTTCTCTAAAATCACGATTTTCATCTAGAAACAAACAGTTTTGTCACCTACTCTACAGTGAAAACACTCAAAATTTCCTGCCCTTTTTAATTACAGCTTTATGTATTTGCCAAAGCGGTCAGAATTCCGTCAATATACTTAAAACCAGGTAAATAAATTTGGCAAAAAGTACGCTTTTTCATTCGATGATCACAGTGGTCCAGCGCTCGTGCACCCAACCGGCGCTTTTTTCCACTCGTAGAATTATAATGAAAAATATCAAAAAAACCTAGTTTTGCTACAGTATCAGCAAGTGCGATCTTAAATTATCAGAAAACAACAGAGAGGAAAGAAGGATCTAGAAAACAAAATAAACAGCTGTTTAGTTTTTTTGAAAATTTTCAAATGTTACTAAAAAGTTTAAATACGGTTGAGCACAAATGTTAGAAAATTTGAAGAATTTTTTTCTTGTCAAAGATAATTTTATGTTTTATCTGAAAAACCCAGTCAAGAAAAAAAAACAGTACAAAAACTTTTTCAAACAAATGTCAAGAAAAGATGATTATTTCAACCACTAGCAAACTCTTTTGATTTATTATTGTTTTAAGAAGCGTTTTTACCATATCTCCAAAAACATTATTAGTACGATAAAATAAAAGCAACACAACCAAGAAAAAAATTTCCTTTTATTTTAGATTCTGCAAGAGAAGATTAGGAGATGTTTATACAATTCACTACGATGCTTTTTTCCATAAAGTCTCCAATTTCAAATTCTTTGTCTTTCATAAAAACCAATAACTTAAAAAAAATTTTCTCTCTTCAAAATGCTAAAAAATTTACTTACATCCCTGCAAAACAAATAATGAACAGAAATAGCCAACAAAATACTTCTATACCTGTTTGCGATTTCTGACGGAGTTCCAAACAGAACAATACAAACAAATAAGCAAATCTAATTTTTTTTTTTACTCTTTGGTTGCTTGGAAACCATTGTAAAAAAAAAAAAACAAAGGAAAAAAATTTTTTTTGGCCCTCCTGATTAAAATGAAAATTCAACAATTTCCTTAACGTCCGATAAACGAAATAGTAGATGAAAATTTTATTTAAAAATCAAAGCTCACAAATTACACTTCATCAATCTCCAGTCGTCACCCCCCCCCCCCCC